AGGTTTCCAGCAGACAGGCAGTCTGTCACAAACTAGCTCTACAACAAGCAGGAATAGGACAATGATCAGAGCTCTTATGAACAAGTTGCTAGGCACTCAAGGACAACAGTTTTCACCACAGGATATGTGTAAGATTCTTCAGATGTATTGTGGGTGAGCTGCAAGGTTTTTATAATAGTTCCCAGAAATTTGCAGTATCTCAATCAGCATGCTTTCCTGGAAGAACAATGTCCCATCTCTTCTTAATCATACTTACAAAGGATTGTCCATCTGTCAGCTTTTGGTAACAACCAGTAGTAACATCTGAAATGCTGGTAGTAACATTGGATATTCATGGTGTTTCTCCTTACATCCTTTTCTCCTGTCCATCATCTTTGCGCTGAACAGTTGCAGTATAGGTGACACTTATATACAGAAGTAGTATAAAAATGTTCAGTTACTCATGGAATTAGTATTTTTAATTTGTGTTTATTCTCAGCAATACTACTGTAAATTATGAATTTAAAACTTAATATAAATAAATACATTAATTGAATACCTGTAAACATATAACTGTAACTTCAGAAAAGTGGTTTGTTTATGTTTGTGTGTTTTTGTCATGGTAGGACCCAGAGTCTTTCATAGAAAGATTGGTGGGATGTAAGATACAAAAGGTCAAGAATCATTGCTTTGGTGGAAGGGGTGAAAAACTTTGCCTGGAAGTTGTAGGCATCCTTCAGTCTCAAGACACTATAACATGTTCTGTATGGAGAACTTGGAACAGTGAAGACAAATACAGTCTGTCCCCTGTCCAGCTCCCTGATTTTGCTGCTTTCAGGACTGCCTCTTTGCCTCGGCCTGCTGAACAAGTATCTCTTCAAATTGAGAGAGGTCATGCTGCACTGCCTGCCTCCAGGCTGAACACTCAGATGTCAACGTTTCCCATCTGTTGAAGTCCATTCCTAAGGCCTTCAGATCTTGCTTGCAAATATCCTTGTATCGCAGCTGTGGTCTCCCTCTGGGGCGATTTCCCTGCACTAATTCTCCATACAGGAGATCTTTTGGAATCCAACCATCAGCCATTCTCATAACATACCCAAGCCAGCGTAGACATCGCTATTTCAGTAATGTATACATGCCTGGAAGTATATATATATAAAATAAGGTATGCCTCATAGAATGCCATTGGTTTTCATAGACCGGCCTAGCTGGACAGAGATGGCCCATACTAGTTTCTGTGGGGCAACTCTTGATGCTGTTCTTTTGGGGCAATAGCAGGAATGCAGCATAGACCTAATATTTTAAGTGTATAGTGACTTTAGCCATCATATAGTTATGGTTGATGAGAACTGTTATCCCACCACCAAAAGAAAGAAGTGTTATTTTCTATTTTTGGCAACCTTTTATTGTGGCCATTATTTACTTGCAGTTCTACTTCTCAGCCCTGTTACATTCTTTCTGGTGCGATTTCTTTAGAGATCCAGTTTTTAGATTTCTGTTTGGTAAATGCTGGTGAGTTGAAGTTATGTTGTTGTTTGTTGACTGTTTCCATATGTATGTAGTGGCTTTAATAATGTCTTCTTACCTTAAGCTGCTTAGCCAAGAAAATACCGTATTTTTTGCACCATAAGACGCACTTTCTCTCCCAAAAAAACTGGTGGGAAACGTGCGTGCGTCTTATGGAGCGAATACTGTCCCCTCCATGCCACCATCGCTGGCTGCCCAGGCCTCCGGAGGCCTCAGCAGGCCCCGTGGGGGGTCCACCACCACCACCATCGCTGGCTTCTGAGGACCTCCAGGAGGCTTTCGACCATAAGGTGCTGCTTTTTACTTTTTAAAATTTTTTTAAAATGTTCTGTGTGGGTTTTGGAGGGTAGATTTGGGCTGGGGGTATGTTTCTATGTTGCTTTGTGTTTTGCTAATATTTTTGCAGTCCCAGCATGGGACTTGCTCTGTTTATTTATTTTTACTTTATTTTTTGGTATTTAAAATTTAGTTGCTGCTTTTTACTTTTTAAAAAATGTTCTGGGTGGGTTTTTGAGGGTAGATTTGGGCTGGGGGGCATGTTTCTATGTTGCTTTGTTTTTTTGTGATTTTTTTGCAGTCCCAGCATGGGACTTGCTCTGTTTATTTATTTTTACTTTATTTTTTGGTATTTAAAATTTAGTTGCTGCTTTTTACTTTTTAAAAAATGTTCTGGGTGGGTTTTTGAGGGTAGATTTGGGCTGGGGGGCATGTTTCTATGTTGCTTTGTTTTTTGGTGATTTTTTTGGCAGTCCCAGTGTGGGACTTGCTCTGTTTATATATTTTTATTTTATTTTAATTTTTGGTATTTAAAAGTTAAGTGCGTCTTAACGTCCGGTGCGTCTTATGGAGCGAAAAATACGGTACTTTTCCCAATGTGGATATCTGTATATTCCTCAATTTTAAAAAAAGAGAGAGAAATACTCAGTTTTAGAAACTATACCCTCCTCAAAGGGAAGGTATTTGGACCACAGATCAACCCCCCCTCACTCAGGAAATGGGCACGTAGATGTACCTTAACTTCCATCTTATGTAAACACTACAGCACAGTCCCACCAGCTATCCCACTTTCTGATATAGTGCATCACCAGTGATGTGGGTGAGAGAGAATAAAAGAGGTCTGCCCTTTTAGAGAATTAAAGAATAGAGCTCACCTGATGTACTAACTTCCTTGGAATGAAAGTACAAGAAGAGTGTATTGATGTGCCCATGTTTTTGACTGAGGAGATGGGTTGACTACAGAACAAATGACACAGCCCAATGATAGTGTATTAGGAATTGTAATGCTGCTAAATCAGTTGTATAAATAAAATACAAAAATAAAAAATGGTTTCATCTCAAAATCTGTGAATTATTCACACTTTCCATTGTAGTTCAGATGTCTTTAGAAATTAGGAAAGCACACCATTCTCCCAAAAACTGCCATCTAGTGCAGAGGGAGAAATTATTTTGATAGACTGTTACAACAGAAATAACAGAGTCTTGTGGCATTTTGAAGGTTAAGAGGTTTGGTTGTCTTTCAGGTGCCGCTGGATTCAACAACTTAGAGAAGTCCAAGAAAACAGGAATATTTCTTTGTTGGTATCTATTCTAGAAAAACATCTGGTCTCTTCCCGATAAATTATATATGTGGGAAACAATTGAGAAAATATAGTATTTTAAGTGTGCATATAACATAAGCACAAGTGCTGTACTACTCAAGTATTTCTTGGGGGCTTCCCATAGGCTGTGATTGACCACTGTGCAAACAAAGAGCAGATCTAGGTTTGCGTTTGGTATCATCCATCAGTTTTCATCGACTGAACATTTGTTGCTTAGTAAGTTGCAACCAGAGTAAAAATGTGCTACTTATATACCACAATTCTTAAAGCACACTCTGGGCATAAAGCATATTTATGCCGACTACATATTGTCCCCTCTCTGCAAGCTGGGTGCTCAATTTACAGACCTTAGAAGGCTGAGTGAACCCCAAGCCAGCTATGTGGGATTGAACCGCTTAACCACTATGCCACAAGGCTCCTCAGTAGGCCCATTGAATCAGTGGTGATTTGGTGAGGCAATTCTATAAGTTCCATTGATTCACTGGACATATTCTAAATGTGGCTTACTACTCTAAGCAACAGGATTTCAGCTATTATGTTCTTAACACAACTAAATCACTGGCAGCAAAACTGTATACCCCATTAATAGTCCATGTACCTGCAGATATGCTCTGTGTTACAGATCTTTAAGAACTAGGGTCCATTAACATTTGTAGTTAAAATTCTATAAATAATCTTAACTGATTTGTTTTCACAATTCCAAAACAAAGAATAACATGCTATTTTCTTATTTTAAAAGACAAGTTTCCCCTTTCCAATAAAAAGTGTGTAAATGTAATTTTGAAATGAAAGACTTCTGAGTTCGCTGTGATAGACACTGGAAAATGTGGGCTGATGTAATAAATCATTGGCTCTTTTCCATAAAAGGTTTTTATGTGAAGACACTATAAATACTGGAAAGTTCATAATGACACAGGACAGGGTAGGAGATGCTGGATAAAATAAGCAAATTTTTACTTTTATTTTCTTCTAATGTAGGCTGAGTACACACTGTAAGTTTGCTGGAAGAATTAAGCTGTTCTGCACATTAGCAATTCTTTTTATGACAAAGTTCGGAATTATATGTTTAATATCAACCTCACTTTTCCTGCAAAAAAGGGGGAACATTATTTCCATGTATATAAAAGTTGCATAATGGTTCAAAGGGGAGGATTATTGAAGACAGCCCAAGGAATAGTTATCTAGTATAAAAATTATTTATTAAACAAAAATATGTATGTATTTTGTTTCTACAAAGAAGACTGAAAGATTGAAAAGAGCAAATGAAATATTTTCCTATTAATATATATTTCAGCTTGCTATAATGACAATTACACCCTCTTTTTCTTTTGAAATGACAGTTTGAATGTTCAGAGATAGTTCAATTATTACAATATTTTAACACCTTTTTCAGCATTCCACTGGCCATGTTTTAGCTAATTATTTAACTAAATCAAAAAGAGAAGCTTGAAAAAAATAGTTTCTCTGTGATTTTTATACAAACTGATATTTTATATGTTGTTGAATTATACCATCTTTTTTCATGGAATCAAATTCATGGACTCTCCCTAAAATTTGAATTTGAAGTTTCAAGAAATAGCCATGGGTCACAGTAAAAAAAAAAAGCATACATTTTTCCTAGCTGAATGTAAAACTGAAGGAGACTGTGTGGCTATCTAGTTGTCACTTTTTTTCTGAATATCTGAAAAAGTTATCCTTGTACAAAATATAAATGATAACACATTTCCACCTGGAATGCACTGAAGAATAAGTTAAATTAACATACTCATGTTACATTTCCTGCTTGAACAGTACTTTGTTATAGAAGCAGACATTTATGCAGTAACATCTTTTAATGATATTTCTCGATGCTGAGTTCACATTGCAAAAAAGAGGTTTGCATTTATCTTTCTTCAGGCACTGCCAAAGTGAATCTGATGAAAATTCCATCAACTGCCTCTAGCCCACGAGACACTGCTCTAGCTGCTGTGATATGCAGTGCATTGGCTACTGTACTTTTAGCTCTCCTCATTCTGTGTGTTATCTACTGCAAAAGACAATTCATGGAAAAGAAACCAAACTGTAAGTTTCCTACACTATACAGTATTTTCAGTTAATATTGCTACCTATTTCATTAAAAAAAAAATCATAGAATGTTTGTGTTGAGCCTCTTTTTCCACAAAGACAATAAAAAAAGCTTCATTAGCTATAATTTGGATCTAATCTGTAAAACATTTGTCTACTTTGAATAATTGCATCATAGAGGAAAATTGTGTCAGCCAGTTGTGTGGATGAGTTGACCATATGCCCAACCCCTGACAATGTATCTGATTTGTTAGTTTTGCCTGGCACATAGTAAACCCATAACAAGACTGTACAAATACTGCAAGATGAATGCCCAAAAATGGTTTGTTGTATGAAAACAGTTTTATGAATCACCACTGGGAGAAATAGAAGAAGGCCTAGGGTTTCTTGTTTCACAAACAATACTAAAATATGCATTTTTCCCTTAAAAAGAAAAACAATAAAGGAAACTTTTCCCATCAATTATGGATTGTTTTCTGCTTGAAATGTGAATCAGAAGCCACTCTGGACTGGTGGCTTGAAATAAATTAAGTTTTCCTTATCTTGAAGTGGTGAACTCCAATTACTCATACATAGTAACAGTCAAGAGTCTAGAGCATGAAGATCTGAATGAAATTAAATTATTAATCTTATTTTTGAACTTCTGGAATCCTTGAATATATGTTCCAATTTACACTTTATATGTGAATGTGAAATTTTACTAGCTATGATTAGAGAATGCTGTTAATACTATTAAAACAGTTTAATAATATCCAGTGTCAACGTCTTCTCTACTCTGAAGGGTTTGCAAGATCACAGGATGTTCACTATGAAGGCTCTGAACTTTCATGTTTTGACAGACCACAGCTTAATGTCTATGCACGTAGAACATGCTGCCAGTGTCAGCGGGACCCATCACAGATATGTGGTAAGTAGGGATCTGAAGAAATCTTGTTCGTTCTCTCATTATCATTGAAACAGATTACCTCTACAGGCCAAGACAATCTCCTGGGTATTCTGTAATCCCTGAGATATGTCTTGCCATCAGTGTGAGATAAGTACGGTTGTTTTGTTGAGTGTTTTGCAGTCAGGGTTCATTTGCCCTTGTAAAGCTAACACAAGGACTTAAACACAGAAGTAGTGGTTGGTTGATCATACAGTTCTTTGAAAAGTCCATGTGAAGAGCAGCAGTCAGATATCACGGTTTTGTACAGTTGTGCAGTTAATGCAAAAAGTTAGTCTCTCACATGTGGAAACAGTGATTGAGGTTAACAGAAAGACTTGTAGGTAAGGAGAAGTAAATGATATTTCTCTTGCTCAAACACAAGAATGTGATATGCAGGAATTTTCACCCCTAGTCGTAAGTGCAGTTCTCTCATGGGAGTTCTTTGAAAGCAAGATTAATCCAAGCAACAGGCACAAAAGATGCAGAGATAACGAACACTGTAGCTAGTTACTAACTATATATAATACCCTCATCTGCAGTTTAATCAGTATAAAACACAGTTTTTCATGGTCTCTGTGATTCACACCAATTATTCCTTCTGTATCTGCGCAGGCATCGCCGGAATCTTCTACACCTTGTAAAAAGCCATTAGCCTCACCCTCTCACACAATGCATGCACCGCCACTCAAAAGTTTTAGTTCCTTTTTTACTCTTGCTGTGGGGAACAGAGTGCTTTAACACTATGAGATGGTATATAATGTGAAACAACAATACTGCTAGTAAGGTTTCAGTAGTTAAAGGCTTCCTCCAGTGTATATAAACTGGTATGTTCCTGATTCATATTAGATCTTTCCTATCACCACCTCCAAATTAAGTTGATAGATCAGATGACTGATGCGTATGTATGCAAATACATTCAGTTCTCTTGCTCTGTGAACTATACACAGTTTGTTTCTTGTTACATATTAGGCATCAGTTTTAATCAAAAGAATTTATGTGAACCAGCACATAGTCGATTCTAAAGAAATCCTAAATAGTTCTAGAAAAAAGTGTTAATTTTGAACTTCTGAGAATAAATTAAGAATTAGGCTGCTAGTGGTAGCCAGTTATACTTGTACATATATCTAATTTTTAAGGTTGATCTATGATTTTTTTAGGCTTTGGACTAATGTGCAATATATCTAGATATGTACCATTTGTTAACTAAGTATTCAATGTGGTGTTTGTTTTTAAGGCCCAGTGCATTTGATTCCATCACTGTGCTGTGAGGAGACATGTAGTCTAGAACACAGCTGCCATAGCTGTCCTTTTCACTCTAGGACTACACTTCATGAAAGGTAATTTATCCTTCTCACTTACGTACATCTCTAATTATTCTCTCTGTTAATAATCTAATAGAGTATTAGATTTATTACAGGGTATACTTATTCCAGTGGGATGAATTTCTACCTGCTTCATGGAAAAGTTTATCATTATTTATCATGGTCTCTGTTGATTGTACATACTGGTTCTTTATTTGCATATAACACTGTTTCAAAAACTTGTCGAGTTTTTTGGGGGGGATCCCCTACTTTACTGCATAGACCCAACTTAGACTTACTGCCAGACAACCACTTAGTTCTACTTTAACTGCTACAGCAATAACCCATGTAACTTGAGTTTTGGGATAGTTTGAGGAGCTGTTGTCTTCTTTTAAATAGTCATGCTCTTATTTGCTGCTTCTATTTTGCCAGTTCTTTGTTTTTCCTTTTCCCAGGTGTGTGTGTGTATTTGTGTGTGTTTATTTGTTCTTAATCACAGTTCACTGTGTGATACTTCATTTAATTTTTCTAGCTTTTTACTGGGTTAATAGCAGACTGAGAGACTTAAGCCATATCTGCAGGAAAAAGTTATTTAGTTCATGAAAGATTCTCCTAAGATATCTGCTATATGACTTTGTGAAATGTAGGTCCCCTTGCTGATTTTACTAGGTCACTGTGAAAACAAGTTTTGATCCCAGATGCTCTAGCCCTTGGGCTACTGTTTCTGGGATCAAAGCACTGGAGACAACAATAATTACAACATTGTAGCCTGTGGGAGAGGATGTTCACCACAGACAATACTGGGTAGATATATTGGATTATGGGAAGCATAAGGGAGAAAGAAAATGTAAATATCAAAAAGCTGTGTTGGCACTGCTGTTTATATTGGAGTCATGCACTCGTATTTAGAGATGATACAGTCCAATTCTCCTTTGAGAATGTTTCAGTTAGATTCTTCTTCACATCCTTTAATGTATGGCTATTTCCAAGGCTTGTGTGACTGCCTTGATACCTGAAAGAAAGATGACATGAAAGGGGAGTTCAGAAAATCATTTTTGATTCACTATGTTTGCACTCAAGTGAACTATAGATTGAGTTCCTTCAGTGATACCTTTCTACACTAATAGAACATAATCTTCTTTTAAGTCTGCCTTCCATTTCTGCTTCATGCAAACGTAGTGGCCAAGACTCATCTCAACAGGATGATTCACATTTTCATTATGGTTTGATGCCTGACACAAAAAAACTGGTCTACTTTGTGTCTGTCAAATTTCACTGTGTGTGTGTGCGCGCAGTGTTTCCTTGTTAGCTGGTCACATTCTTCCAGGAAAAGGAGAGTATGTGCTATATCCAGACATTAAAGGTCTCAAGCTCATAGCTTCAGGATTTGGCCATGAGGAAGTTATCTGAGTCCTTTCAATTTTAGTGGTGTCTGTGAAGCCATCAGTTATACATTCTTACAAATAAGAAGAGCGTTGTGCATAAGCTGATTGACTAGGTTTGCAGCCACATTCTTATTCCAATTCTTGGAAGGTTTTTTTGTTCCATTTCTTTTTCCATTAGTTGATTCTCATTTAGCCTTCTCATCTATCAATGTTTATAAACTTCCTGCTTTCCTCTCTTCATGGTGTCAGATGTTAAGAAGCAGCTTTGTGGTGTTTATAGTCAGTACTCAGAGAGGTTGTCACCTTCAACATGAACTTACAGTGATATTAACCAACAACCAAAAGGGCCAGTGTATTGGATACCTTAGGGGTTGATGAATGTTTCCTGCTGTGGTTTGGGGATAAAATGATCATTAGAGCAGATGCATTCTTTCTGCTTAACTTGATTTCTGAATTACTGTATATCTTCATCAGCATTTTCCCCTACTCTATACTCAGAACTACCTCAGCAGTGAATTAGATTAACATGATACTCCAGGCTTTTAGGTTGACCACATTTCTTGCTTAGAAAGACCTATTTTCTTTACTTTTATTACTTGAAATCCATAGAGAGTGGAGTAACTTCTCAACATTTTGCAGAATATGTTATGAACCCAATTAGATTGAATTGCCATTTAGCTGAACTACTGTTACCTGAGCAACTTACTAACCTTTCTGCTAGATCTGTCTCCACTTTGTAGCATTTCTGAAGGCTGTGCCAGTGATTAATATTTGCAGAGCTGTTGCATGATTGCAGCCATCTACAGTGGTGCCTCGCATTGCGATCGCTCTGTTTAGCGATGAAATCGCTTTGCGACGCATTTTTTGCACTCGCAAAAGTGATCACTTTGCGATGTTCCCTATGGGGGAATTTCCCTTTGCAATGCTCGTTTCCCTGCTTTGGGAACTGAGCAACACAAAGCGACGATTTTAAAACAGCTGATCGGTTGTTTCAAAATGGCCGCTGGGTAAACAAAATCGCCGCCCGCTGTGTTTAGGGACGGATTCCTCGCTTAAGAGGCAGCAAAAATGGCGGCGCTATGGAGGATCTTCGCTGAATGGCGAGTTTTAAGCCCATAGGAACGCATTGAAGGGGTTTCAATGCGTTTCTATGGGCTTTTTAATATCACATAGCGACGTTTTCGTTCTGTAGCGATTTTTGCGCAACAAATTAACATCGCAATGCGAGGCACCACTGTACATTGGTTCAACCCATCACCTTGATATCTAGGCACAAGCAGACAATGCTTTTGGCTGAGTGGTGCTTTCTTGTCTTCTGTATCTTCATCTCACCTTGCTGCTCAGTGATATGTGTGATGCCTGAAAACAAGATAAGAACAAGTTGTTCACTTGTAACTATGATCCTTTGACTTGTCATATGTGCAACCATACAATACACTGTTCCTCATTTCTTTATTGTTAGACATACTGTGGTGTTCTGACTAAAATCATCAGTAGCCTTTCCTTGGTGCTTGTGCTGTGAGGTGAAGCAGTGGAACTCCTGATGAAATTCTTAAACTCCAGAAGGTTCTGAAGCAGGGCTTTGTGCAAGTACAAAAGCTATAGGTTGACCACACAAAGAGCCACAGTTGCAAATAAACGAACTGTCCATAGTTTTGCACCAAAAAAACTCTGAGAGTCAGTTCTTATGGTCTGAATTCTGACAAATTAAAAACATAGGAAATTATTTCTGGCTGGTTACCCACACAATTGTTTATCGTCTTTGAGAGAACTAGAAAACTGAGGCAGTTCCCTGGTGTTTGATGTGTATAGTGCTATATGTAATAGACTTGACAGGCAGTTTGCTTGAAACAGTGCTACTATCACTAGCAAAACATCTAAGAAAATTTTCAGTAAATGTAGTGGAAGAGCAGATACTTAAGGTTGCATTTCCATTGAAGTGCTGTTTCAGTTTTGCAGGGCTAAAATGCCATTATTTTGTCACTTTGTAAACTTTTAATCTTGGCACCCAACATCCTCTTAGGTATTTCAGATGTGAATATGGTATGAAATATACTTAAATGATACAGATACTATGTAGAATTTGCTGATATGCTAGGAGTGAAGGAAGGTCACTATATCTTAATATCAACTCTTGATTGTCATATTATTTTTGAAACTTGTTAAAATTAGTTCTCATTTGCCATCACTTTTTACAGGAATTCAAATTCTGTTGGTGAAATGATTCCTGCATTCCTTGGTTCTCTTTCACATTCTGCGTGTGGAGAAATTTCAGATGGTTGGCCCCTTATCCAAAATCCAACTTGTTGTGACAGCATCTCTTTCTGTGAATCATATCCTGAGCTAATAGGAGAAGATGAAAATTCTTTCAGCATAGAGACTGAAAAAGTAGCTGTTATGGATTCGGATAATGAACAGGATATAAGTACATTAGCATCTTCTAAATCTCCTTTTGGAAGTTTGACAGAGTCAACTGAACTTCCAAATAAGACGTATTATATCAACGCTACTTTAAACCAGTTTGTAGTTGCTGAACCACTGTCAGTGACACAGCCTGACAGGATTGTTAGTGATTCCACAAACTGATGACAGGTAAGGATAAAGCTATTAATAGTTACATAGAAAATAGTTTGCTATGCAATATCACTGAAAAGGTTACTATTATTGAGTAATGATATCCTTATCTAATTAAAATGAGTCCTCAACCACTAAGTCTTATTATTTCTATATAAACTTCATGTCTCAGAAAAAAGACCCAGAAGAATTACACAAACTGAGACAAGCTTCTAGTTCTGCTATTTGTAAGCATGTTTCTCAATATTTCTGTGTATAATTCAGAACACCAGCTTCTAACACTTTCAAAACAATCAGGAGATGTGCCAGTGTGGGAGGAAGGAGGTATTTTCAGTTCCCCCTTACATTTTTGTAAGAAAAAATGGGGATTATAAGAGTCACAGGAGCAAATGAGATGCTTATATACCACCCCATAGCACTTAAAGCACTCTCTG